AGTATCCACACTTGCTAAGACGGCAGATCAAGTACTTACTGGGCCCAAAAAGGGAATCACTAAGATAACGGCTGCTAGTTAGCTTGACGGGGGTAATAATTTCACTCTGTGTATGTGTGTGTATACAAACGACACCCTAAATGTATGGTTTGTCAGTTCAACATCAGTAAAGCAGAGGGGTGAGTCCTCTCCAATTAGTCAAGATCGATGGCCCCTTTGTCCAGTCTCTAGCAGCCTGAGCAGCTCACGACTGTTCCGTGCCTTGCCTAACAACTGGCATGCTGCAGCTCCTGCAAGAGCAGCGCCCCTCCACTGGAGGGCCCTTCCTGCTCCAACTGGGGAAGCCGAGAGCCCAGGCTTTCAAATATGGGTACAGTGCCAGGCAGCTGGCTGAGTCACCAAGGCTGGCAGTGGAGAGTTCTGCTGGAGCTTGGCACAAAGCAGAAACAAAACCGGTACACTTTCATGCTCGTTATTTGTTTACAGCATCCAATTTTGTTTGTTTGTTTTGTTTTTCAAGACAGGGTTTCTCTGTGTAGTTTTGGTGCCTGTCCTGGATCTCAGGCTGTAGACCAGGCTGGCCTCGAACTCACAGAGATCCGCTTGGCTCTGCCTCTCAAGTGCTGGGATTAAAGGCGTGCGCCACTGCCGCTCAGCTACAGCATCCAGTTTTGATTTGATAGTTATACTTAATCCCTCTACACAAAGGTTTCTGTAAGAAAGGAAATGGAATTTGGCATTTGTATTCTCTAGGGTGCTGGGAATAGCAGTAACTGGATTCCTTGTGTACTAATACCCCAGTTTGATGGGGGTGGGTGTGTAAAGGCTGTACCCCTCACATAGTTTCATGTTAGATACAACTTTGGAATGAAGCTCAGATGTGAGGCCAGGATATGTAGCTTGAGGCCCTGCTTAGCCTTTTACCAGCTTTGACCTGGGACAGTCTCAACTATGTAGCCCTAACTGTCCTGGAACTATGTAGACCATGCTATCCTAAAACTCATGGAGATCTGCCCGCCTCTGCCTTCTGAGTGCTGGGATTAAAAGTGTGTGCCACCACCACCCGGCCTGGGAAGCTGCAGGAGCTGCAGTTCCCTCAACTGTGAGATGGGCATGACCATGGAGACACACCAGATCCGAAGGTTTGTTCATAAGCAGGGTACTGGTGCCTGGTACATACCCAGCACATGCTCTCTTATTGTGAATTGCCTGGAAGGGCTGTGAAAGGCTTGAGCAGGGGCCTAGACACGTAAGCTGCAGGACAGTGGCAGTGGCTCCTCCAGTCAACACTCTATGGGAGTGAAAAGAACTCTTTTTTTTTTTTTAATGGTTTTT